GTGGTTCAGAGTTGTACACATATTTGGCAGATTATAGGTTTATCACTGACAGCTAATCTTTTAGAGAACTGTGGCTTAATTCCTTTTGTTAACTAATTAAAAAAGATAAAGGAGTTAAAGCTGTAATTAGACCTATTAAAACATGTATTACTCACTCAATGGCCTATACAGCTAGGATAAATGTATAATTAGGAGGTTTGTCCAAACATGATTAAAGCTAGTCACGTGTCCTAGGCCATCAAACATTTATGTGTGTGTGAGATTGAGAGTAAAGTCAGTATGAAAATGTGAATATAAACCATGTCATACTTTGCAGAGAAAATACATGAACTATTTTTTGGCATATTATAAATATTTAATTCAAATCATGAAAGCTTTTTTCAGATGAAAATTCTGAAAGGATTGTGTCAGGCCTGTAGCTTCTAGTGAGATAGTGTCATTGGCAACAGTAATCAGACCAGGTCTGCCTGTCCCCATGATCTATCGCTGCTGTTGCCTACGGTTTGCAGATAGTTTAAGAAATTTGGAAATTAGTGTGTTGTGCATTCCTATTAGCGATCGGTGCATTCCCTGAGGCATAAGGATTTGTATCCCTTTCAAAACTCATATCTATTTTGGGGGATTGGGTTTCTTTTTTTGTTTGGGTTTGTTAGTCTTCAAATTACAAAGCAGTAAAGTCTTCAGCTTTAGAACTAGGGCATATTTTTCCTTCCATAGAGTTAAGAGATGGGAAGAAGAGAGCAGGTCCATTGACCTTTTCTACCTCATGCAGGCGTGTAGGAGTGCTTTCTCTGTGCGCTACTTTCTGGTGATGGCATCTCTTGAAGGGAAATTTCCCAGGAAGACTGTGGCGGTTCTGGGTCTCTGCCGGCCACTATTCTTTCCATATGTTGATGGTTTCTTGTATACTGGAATCTTCCTTGGCTTGTGTCTCATCAGCCCCTTTGTGGCACATGGAAGTTGGAGAAAGGGACTCGGAGCACCTTTGCATCCTAAATTGCCCCCAGAGCTCATAGCAGTCGCATTGTATGGTTCAGGTCTTCCTACGATAACCCTTCTCCAGCTGTCCACATCCAAGTTGGTGCCTAGGAGCTCTGCCACAGCGTGGCTGTGACTGCGACAGTCTCTGTAGCACTTTAGGCAGGGAGGGGGATTTCTGCCATACAGTCATTCGAAGGAAACCATTGCATCTCTACAAACCAGGAGATGTTGGCAGCTCTCATGGAGGTGCAGACACCTCTGGCATGACTGCTAACCAAAATTAAAGATATAAATAAATTGTTTGCTGTAATAGCCCTTTGTTTCAAAAAAACTTTAGTTGCAAGCACTGACTCAGAGAAAAAGACATTGAAGTATTGAGGTTGCTGGGCTTAACCTATGGAAAAGGAATAGGCTCAGGTGCTGAAAGCTGACTCATATATTTTCAATTTTCCTGCCAGAGTGATAACTATTTGCACAGATGAACAAATGACAGAAGAGTTCCAAGGTTATGTAGAAAGGAATAAGCGTCTTTAATATATATCAATTTCTGCTTGGGGAACAGTGAAATTCAGTTAAAAGTCTTAGCTGCCTGTACTGCTTTTAAGCACAGATAATGTAGAGAATTTGGCTGGTGTCAGCCCTTTTTGTCTCACTAAACTTCTGAGAATCCTGGGGTAGGAGAGAGAGGAAAAAGCACTTGGGGGAAAACCTAGTGCAGAGGGAATGGTAGAAGTGTCCTGCTACAGCTGTGGAGGAGAAGGGTGCTTCCTCTGCGTGGGTAATATCTGACTTTCCCGTTTGTTTATGTTGGTTGTCATGTTCGCATGCACTCAGAGAGAGAGGGAGGTATGGATGTATGTGTATATATATAAATAGACACACATAGTAAAATAGCAGTTGTCTATATTGCACACACAGTGGTTTTGGGACCAGTTTCCAAGTGGTTCATGGTATGTCTGTGGTCCAAATGAGTAGCAGCATAAGAATTTTGGAGTTGTTTTGTTGTTCGTATTTTTTCTTCCTGTATGAAAAATGAAAGATTAGGCCTCTCTCTGAAAGGGTGACATTTTGTCTTGGGGAGCTACCCAGCTGTCCCTCTTCAGAGAAGACAAAAACTTAAGTTTTGACTGATTAGAGATGGAAGACTGGGAGTTCTAGCTTAATGTAACAAATTACCGCATAATTTTGTTGTCTAGGTTCCAATAGGATGTGTGCTAGCCAAAGATCCAGAAGAGATCTTTCAGCGGGATAAGAAGAGGCATTAGCTCTTTAATCCTAGATACAGAGCTCTAAAACCAGGCACAACATAGAACTGATTATAAATAATTCCCTAATATTGTTTTGGACTTCTGTATGTTTTGCCTGGTTGTTACACCTAAATAGCTGCATTGTCTGTAGTCTTGAATATATCATCTCAGAAGGGCAATACCATTCATGTCTTTATGTAGATTATGCTTTTATAAGACTCCTTTTATTGCCAACTGAAGTCAGAATCTCATGACTTAAATTTGGATATCCCTGCTTCAGATAACATAGTTTAAATATTAAACAGATACTTGGAGTGTGTAAGCATGGGATAAGCCCAGGAGGAGGATTCAAGGAGGAACTGGGGGAGAAGAGTAAACATCTTACTTGTTGCAGAAGATTTCATTGTACGGGGACTCTGATTCAAAGGTGTTGATGGAACCGAGTCGCTCTTCACCGCAATAGGAAATCTTTGTACAGTTTGCTGCTTTATGCTGGGATTGTAAGAGGAATCTTACAACAGCATTATTTGGAGGAAATTCCTGTCCAGTGTACTCACTGAGAGTGATACTGGCTGGTGAGCTCAAACTTGTGTCATTTTTATGTAGGTATTTCAAATTTGAGGAACATCCAGTGCATTTGCAAACTTGTCATTCTGCAGGTGTAACTAGCTATCTACATACTCATTCCAGGTCTGGTAGATGAGTATTTTGCCTGTCACCCTCTCTGTGGTCCAGATCTGAACCTCTTAAGAAACCAAAACCAGCCTCCAGTTCCCTCGCTTTCTAATTCTGCATGACTAAGTCATTCAGCATGTTATAAATACTGTTGCTCATTGCAAATACATTGGTTACCTGTGCACCAATCATTGTCAGCATATTTCTGCAGTGGAGTAGCTTAGCATTAGGTAATTGGCATAAATTAAATCGGTTGAGTCACGGTATTGCCCTTTCTGCATACACCCACACGTGTCTGTTACGTATGTGCTATGGGAGATATATGAATGATAGAAGCACTGCAAACGCCCTGCCAGCAAACAAGGAACTTGGATACATTCAGAAAATAGGTATTGATGCAGAATTTATGTCAAAATAAGAGGAAGTGAAGAGTGTGCAAAAGTATTTGTTTTGTGTGACTATAGGAAACCTCAAGAAATTCTTTTCAACCAGGGGATTACAGTGAGGAAAACAATGAAAATGTGTCAGTGGTAGATTTTTGTCTGCTGATGGATATATTTATGACTGAGGTACGTGGCTTGATGTCTGCATGACATTTTCCATATTTGAGAATGAGAGCCCTGTACTCTGGCTTAGCTTTGCTGTAGGGCACGAAGTCAGTCACATCCCTGTAACTCAACTTTTTCCCATCTGAAGAAGGGGAATTAGTAATCGCTCATTGTTCTCAAAGCACTTTTGTGTTTAAGGACATATTATAATCCCTTATTATAATGTTATAATTTGTTCTTCTCACAAATGATCTATAGAATAATAACAGTAAATTGAGGATTTGTAGAGGTTATATTTGTAGAAATAGATTTCCCTGTTGCTTACAGTTTTCTGCAATTGACTGCTTAATTTCTGCACCTGCAATTACTTCTGGGTGTAGCTCAAGCTGCTTAGAAGTCTGAGGACTTGATTGTGCTCATGTATCAGGTATTTAGGCATCAAAGTATTGTGCCTTATGCCTTCACGCAGCAGCACCCAGAAAACTGCAAGTGTAGTGAAAGAGGTTGGCTTGAAAATCAGGTTCTTGCAGTTTACAAAAGCGTTGGCTGAAACAGGAAAACAGGCCATGAAGAAAATTCTATTAAATGAACGATTCCTTTTCGTCCATTTTAGGCTGTGTTGTGCTGAATGGGAAGTCCATCTCCTCGTTCTGTTGGATTGCCCTTTACTCAGAAGGGCACGTAATTCTCTGGGCAGCTTAATGCCTTTTCAACCTGTGCCGTTGCCTTGTATGGCTCTGAATCTTTCACCTGGTGGTACTACTTACTGAGCACACTGATGTTCCTGTGGTTCACAGTAAAGCTCAAGTCTTATCTCTTTGTAACTGTGTGCATTTCGGCTCAGATTGTAACCTGAGGTTTTTCAGAAGCGTTCAGTGTTGGTTTACTCTGCCTTCCTGCTGTGAGGGGGAGATTTATGCTTTTTTATGCTCACTCCAGGCAAGTGGAGTGAGATAGGTGCTTAGCACCTTTGAAAAACTTCCCTTATTCAGTAGCTTCTAACCAAGGAGAAAATCGAGAATTTGGGGGATTGCAGGTTCAACTCTTTCACAGCTTTGAAGAGCCTTTAGGATTTCACCAGTCTTAACTCCTCCCTCGGCATGCTGGGGAGGTTGGGATTGTGCTCGGCAAGTATTGCTTTTCGGGATCCCAGAGCAGGATTTGTTACCCTCACCCGCCTCCCCAAACCTTCCTCTGTCAGTGCAGGTTGCTGGCACTCGGGCTTAACGAGAGTGAGCTACATGCTGAGAATAAACTGAGGGTCTTCTGCCTGTATTAGAAATATCTTCTTGAGTGTCACTGGGTAAACATGTATTACTACTACTTTTCTTTCATGCCTATAAATCTTCACAAAAAATATGGTCCCTTTCCTCCCCAGCAAGAGGCAAATGGAAAGAGTCTGAGGTTTTAAAAAATAAATGCATGCAGGGGGGTCACTTTCCAGTCACATGGGTTTATATTTCCCTATTTGCGCAGCTTTCACTGCTGTCCATCCTGAATTCCAAAAGACAAGAGGAGACCTGCTAAGGTGTTTTATTTCTTTTCTCAGTATTTCTGGCTTCTTGTGCTCTCACGAGGTTTGGTTGGCATCGGTGAAGCAAGTTACTCCACTATTGCACCAACCATCATAGGAGACCTTTTCACCAAAAACACAAGGACCCTTATGCTGTCTGTTTTCTACTTTGCAATTCCTCTTGGCAGGTAAGTGACATAATGCTTCTTTGATCTGGTTTTGGCTTTTCTCTTCAAGTAAGTTCACACGGATCTTAAGTTGCTAACGATGATAGTTCTGCCTTTGGTTGGAATGGTTTAGACAGGAAAATATTGTGAGCAGTGACTAATTAGTTGCAGGAATTGGATTCTTTTTCTAGCCCCGTTACTGGTTCATGTGTGACTTTTGGGAATTAGTGGGAAGGATTTTTTTTTTTTACAGCAATGGGGTGAAAATGGAATCAAATATTTTAGCTGACTTTTTTTTTTTAAGCATTATTAAGTTAAACTATCATTTTGAATAATGTTATACTTGTTCTCTGAATCGTTGCTTCGATTCATTTGAGGTCTAGGCCTTCCTTAGCCAATGTCTTTCAGGTTACTGTGAAATCAAGATCTCTCAAGACACTGGGCTGAGTTTTCAAAAGTGAGTGAATGGGTACCTGCTTCTATGTGACAACCTAAATATCAGGTTTCAAGAGGAGTATGCTACATAACATACACAATTTGAAATTTTGACTTTTAAAAATATTTTTAGTTTAAGCTCAAATTGTGCCCAACCTTGAATTTGGCCAATCTAACTTAAGTTTGGAAAACGTAGCTAAGCCAATTGTAGATGACTTGGTAGTTGCAAGAGCAGCGGCCAGTCCATCTTAGTGCTATTGCCACTGAAACAGCGATTAGGAGAAATTGTGAAGTCTAGTGTAGACAAGGCTGAAGAGAGAAACTGTAATGATCGTTCACAATCAGTCTTAACGCAGAGCAGCGGAGGACAGCCAAGCCCATAGATGCTTGATGAAAGCAGCAGACAGACTCAGATTTGGAGTAGTTATTTCCTCTGGCGCTTTCTTTCAGTTGAGTTCCCTTATCAGCCCAATGCAGTATCTGATTGTTGGGACAGGAGGGAATCTCTGATGGTTTTTTTTATTATTATTATTTTATTTTTTTTAAATAATGGCTGACCCTCTGTTGTGAGGTTGTAGGGAGGGTGGGTTCACATAGTTTAGGAGGGAATCTCTGATGGTTTTTTTTATTTTTTTATTTATTTATTTATTTTAAATAATGGCTGACCCTCTGTTCTGAGGTTGTAGGCAGGGTGGGTTCACATAGTTCGCATACCGATTCCCAGAGCTGGACAACATCCTGTGCAGAAGTGGCATCATGGGTTCATTTCCAGCAGGGAATACATGGGCAGCAGTTTCATCCCCCTCAACTCAGGGAAAAACTTCTGGTTTAGGGTGGTGCATTTTACAAGTTAGAGCACTCGTCCCTGAGATGAAACTCGCAAACATCCATTTGCTCTTGAGGAAACAGAAATAGCCAAGTCCTTAACTGGTGAAAAGAATATTTCCCAAGAGGGCCAAGGATGCCAAGTATTTACGTAGAGAATTCAGTGAACTATGGCTAGCAAGAAATGACAAATACTCATCCTGTTGAGCCTGATTCTGGGACTTAATTCTCTCAATATCCAACAGAGGTTTGGATCCATGGTTTGATTTTGGGGCCCGTCTGTGTAAAAAACCCAGTTTGGGGGTGATGATAGATGGCAACCGCCAAAGCTTAGCAGGCTGTTCACTAAAGGCATGTGATGGCTGACAGTTGCCCCACAGCAGTCCTGGCAACTTTTAGCCAAGGCGATCTCAGCAACAAATGCAGCAGGTTTGAAAAAAGGATATTCACATCTGTTCAGTTGACTTTGAGAGAAGCGTGGCTACGTTCACCTTTATCTAGTCTCTTGTGAGCTACCTTTTGTTACCACAGTGTAATTCTTAGCATGTGGCTGAAGGTCCTGTTGCTCCTTCATCTTCAGAGGGGATTTCCAGGTTTCAGGTCTGATGTTCTCCCATCAGACTATCTTGCATATTCTTCTTGGTTTTTCTTACAAGCTTATGGAAAATGGTCTCTTCATGGGTGATTAGAACCAAGTACTATTAAATGACAAGAAAAGAATTTAATGATGGAATATGGTGTGTCCTTGAAGGGCACTTAACTGAGAGCTTGAACATAAAATTGTTAAGTATTCATATTAGTGCACAGAAAGGCCTGATGTAGAAATTAAATTGGGAAATAAATTCTTTTTGGGGCTTTGTTTCCATCCACTGTAGATTGAAAGGTCAGCTATAAACTTGAGATCAGTGTCTAAATTTCCATCAGATCTGAGCATTTTTAGATCAACGGTGCTGGGAAGAGTTACGTATTAGCCACCATCTGCTTCATCCCCCGTGTTTCTTCCTGCAGGAGAAGAGAGCCTAGGACACACAATTGATTGTGCCTCTTTTTATCGTTGTTTAAGAACGGCTGTGATTGTGGTACTCTGACTCTCACCTTTGTGTTTCTCGCAGTGGCTTGGGATACATCACTGGGTCAAGTGTGAAGCAGGTTGCTGGAGACTGGCACTGGGCGTTGCGGGTAAGCTACTCCTAATAACATGGTAATAACAGTTGCATCGGTTGATCAGTGTTAGGAAGAGTTCTGTCACACAACTCCTCAACCTGTTGTTACATATAGAAGGTAAAGGATTGGAAATTACATCTATGGATATTAAGTACATAGCAGATGCGTTCTCTAAGCAAATGGGAAAGGTATGTGGTTTTGGCACATCGTACTTGTTTTTTTCCCTGCCCGGGAGCAAGAATGTTCCAATCACTTTATTATCAGTCAACCATGATTTCTTGATGGGGATGGGAAGACGAGGCATTGGCCTTAAATCAACTCCACAGTCTTTCAGTCCCCTGCTGTCAAGAAACTCCGAGAATGGCTTCCTGCTTTGAGGAAAAAACACTTTGTTCCAGTTTCCGCTTGTTTTTCTGCCCTGAGACAGTCAGTTTCCTTCTATTTTAACCTCTTGGGACCTTGATAAATGTGTTGAAAAGATAATACACTCCAATCACATACGCACAAACAGATCCTGCACACAAAGATGTCTTGAAAGAGCTGAGAGGAAGTGGCCCAGCAGAACTGTTTTCTGACCTTTGGCAGTCTGGGTGGCATGAGCCCCTGTGAGGTGCATTCCCTGGCTCTGGCACTTCATGAAGACAATGAATCTCATGAAGCTCAGGCCAACACCATTTATAACAGCAGGTGATGAAATACATGGGTTCTCATCTCAAGCAAATGTGCCCTTCTGTGACACAGGCCATTCCCTCCCTGTCCAGCGAAGGTAAGCAAAGCCAGGAAAATCACCGTGAACAGTTCATCCGCAGCTAGGAGAGTGGAGAGTAGTTTCCAGTTGTGAACCTAAAATGAAAAGTTCAATAGCCTACAGCTTCACACCAAGAGGATGGCTACCTCATTCAGTAGCAGAAATACTTTAAGGGTAAAATTAACTTTTGAGCAGAGGCCGGCACAAGGAATAAGAAAAGTGGGCTTTAATGAGGTTGATACATTGGAGCGCTCTTGTGTTTCTATCTGTAAAACCCAAATGATTAACCTGTGCAAAGAAATCCTCACTAGCATCTTTCTTTTCAGATGAAGTCTCCATAGTTATCCTGAGAAATCCAGGCTATCTGCAAGACTGTACCACTTATGGGGTCATGATGTCCACTATAAACGACACATTGATGAATGATTCCCTGACTGTGCAAAATCGTGGGGAATCTGACAAGCTGCACACTTCTATGATGGTTGCTTTGGACAGCATTGCTTAGTTTTTGTAGACAAACAGCACATGTTGAAAGCTTCCAGACATCAGTGTAATGCAGCCTCCGTCCCTGTGGCAATTAACTCTGCTCTCGCAAGATGTGAACGATTCCCCTAGGTGATGCTTCCCTCTGTGATCTCCTGTGGTCTCCAAATCCAGGAGATGTCAGGAGTAATCTGTACTTCAGTGGGCTGAAGAAGACAGAAGGGCACTTTGGCAAGTGGCAGCTTTGTCTCTGGATCTAGCAGTAATGTCAGTGTTTCATTGGAGCATTACTGAATATCCATGGATATTGTCCTGTTGGGGGATTAAGCCTTTAGATAAAAATCAAAGACACTTTAAATTTTATGGCCCTAGAAAATCCCAGCATTTCCATTTTTTTTTACCAGTGCTGTGTCTTGTGTTCAACTGCAAATAAGGATACTGTATCAGGCTTCATTTATCCCTGGATAAGGGATTTTCCTGACTTTCCAGTTCTGAAATATTTTTGCCTTCCCTTCCCTAGAAGAATTCTGGGTTTGTCGTCTTTGGATGTGAAACACTGCTCTATGTGTAAAGGTCATTCTCAGGTTATTATTGGAAGCATATTTCTTTTGGAACAGGAATTTATTTTTAAAATGACATGTATAGAAGAGATGATAGTTCGGTGAAAATCTGTGTTCCTGTTTTCCTAACGGAGTTATTTTCCATTCTGACAATGGTGGAATTTCAGTGTCAAAACAAAAATCATGTTTGTAGCTTGCAAACCATTGTGGGAGCTTTGTATTTTTGTCTAGTGATTGGAAGAAAGGAGAGGAAACTGGGAAACCTAACGCTTGAATGTGTCGCTTTCCTCTCTTCCAGCCTGAATCTTTAATGTTTCTTGGTCTGCTGTACACTGAGGTAACCTGAGGAAGCTGCTTGAAAATAGGAAGCCATTGTGGGTTAGCTGGAAGAGGGATGCATGTCAAGCAAGGATTTTCAAAGCTGGCATGCTCCCTACATCCAGAAATCTTTCACCTGGCCTTATTGCCTTTAAAAGGCTTCTGCACTCTCCCAGAAACTAGTTGGTCTCTTAGCCCAGCTGGGAGTAGGTTTCCAAAGAGTTAAACATCACTGAAGAACCGCACTTCCATGAATCTTGGTACTTTAATAACACAAAGAAATAGACTGCCTTAATCAGAGTATTCTCAAAGCTGCATGCTTCCAGAGTGAGATAAGAGAGTCCAGGGAATGACTCTGCTCTGGTGAGGCCCCACCTGGAGTCCTGCCTCCATCTCTGGAGCCCTCAGCATAAGAAAGACACGGACCTGTTGGAGCGGGTCCAGAGGAGGGTCACAAAAATGATCAGGGGGATGGAACACCTCTGCTGTGAAGAAAGGCTGAGAGAGTTGGGGTTGTTCAGCCTAGAGAAGAGAAGGCTTCGCAGAGACCTTATTGCAGCCTATCAGTACTTAAAGGGGGCTTATAAAAAAGATGGCGGCAAACTTTGTAGCAGGGCCTGTTGCGACAGGACAAGGGGGAATGGCTTTAAACTAAAGGGGGGTAGATTTAGACTAGAGGTGGTGGATGCCCCATCCCTGGAAACATTCCAGGTCAGGCTGGACGGGGCTCTGAGCAACCTGATCTAGTTGAAGATGTCCCTGCCCAGGGCAGGGGGGTTGGACTAGATGAGCTTTAGAGGTCCCTTCCAACCCAGACTATTCTATTCTATGAGTCTATGAAGGAAAGGAGTAGATGCCTCAGTGTGCTTACAGATTCTGACTAGTTATAAAGAATCGCATCGCTGAAACAAAACTAACATAATCTGCTTGTTACTGACTAGTCAAAGCAAACCCTGCTGACTCCTGTGCTAATTCCCTGTTCCTTTCTTGCAGGTATCTCCACTCCTGGGAATGATAACAGGGACACTCATCTTGATATTTGTACCTGCTGCTAAAAGAGGAAACGTTGAACAACTTGGGGGACAGCTGAAGGCTCGGACCTCATGGCTGAGAGACATGAAAGCACTGATTAGAAAGTAAGAGCACTAGTAAAAAGCATGGTTTGCCTTTAATGCTTAACGGGAACATCCAATGGCCTGTACTACTTAGCACTGTGAGACTGGAAGGTGACAACATGCAGAGAATTGCAGGAAGCTTAGTCTGTGGACCTAGGAAAGAAAATCACAGTTACATTTTCACGAGGTATCGACTGCAGTGACAATGATGGATTCCAACTTTTGCTCTAACCTTTCCAAGATTGAGATCTAAGAGAGAGTCTGCTTTGTTTGGCTCATACTTCAGACAAATCAAGGCTTTTGAAGTGTAGAAATTGCTGTGTTCCTGTATTAATTGTTGTGCCACTGTTGTTCAGACGCTTAGGTCCTTGTTCTTCCTTGAAAGAGCTACTCTGCTGAGGGGAAAAAGACAGTTAGATGCCAGAGCAATTTAAGAGAAGAAAATACACAAAAGCTTGCACTACATGGCAAGTTTAAATATATAGGTTTATACAACCGCATGTGACTGAATGCACAAGCACTGAATGTGCTTGGGTGCTTGTATATGTGCATAAAAGATCACACGCTCACAAGTGTTTAAGCAGCTGCCCTTGCTTCCAGAAAACTTGCCTGGGAATGTGCAAACTTGCACTTGTGAATTCAATGTTACATCAGAATTCTGATGGGAAACTTGTGGTGTCCTTCATTTTTAGAACTGCTGGCTAGAATGCCTTCCTGGTATTGTCATCCAGTATCAAAGGACTATGGAAAGTGATGATGGTTAATTTATCAATATTTCTACATTACTTTTTTTGTTAGTTTATCCAATTAGTAAACATATGGTGGCACAGATGGGGAGGGAGAAGTAAAACTGGTAATCCAGGTAAACAGGTGATATTACAGTGAAAGCCCTGTAATTCACACATCATGTCTTAGTGACTAAGTACTGACTGTCTTCTGAAACGGTCCCATGAAAAATGGTCTCTTTGAAGCACCTCTGAAGAGGTAAGGACATTATTATCAATGGAGCATCACGTATGAAGAAATATTCTGTGCCTCTTATTCTCCGCTGCTTTGTACCTTGTATTATCTCTGCCCCTTGGCAAAGGGAGATCGCTAGTATGGGGGAACACTGTGATTTGTCACTGAAGCTCTGGCTTCTGTCCTGGGGCTCCTGCTCTTTCACTTTTCCCACTAAACTTTCTCTTGGTTTTGCCTCTTGCGTCTCCACAGCCGCAGCTACGTGTTCTCATCATTGGCCACCTCAGCTGTCTCCTTTGCCACAGGGGCACTTGGCATGTGGATCCCTCTCTACCTTCACAGAGCACAGGTCGTGCAGAAGACAGCAGAGACCTGCAGCTCACAGCCCTGCAGCACCAAAGATAGGTGAGATTCATACTCTGCTGCTTTAAAGAGGGGGAAAGGGGTAGGGGCTTATTTACCAGAGGAAACAGGCAAGTCCCATTGGAGTCAAGTTACTAGAATGTCTGTAATTTCCTCTAGGTCTTTGCAACAATGATAGGAAATGCTGGGATTGTAAACTAGGTTTTATTGCTCTTCTTTTCTTCATCGCATGAAGTCAAACCAAGGGAGAAGCAATGACCTCAGCTCTGTCTTAGTTCCCAGGCTATATAGTGCAGCAGTAGAAAAGAGACTGCTGTCTTTGCCTTAGAAGATGTTTGGAGAGCTGAGAGAGAGAGAGTTTGGTTTCTTAAGACCCACACTGTTTTCTGTGATAGCAGCAGAATCAGCTGGCAGGTTGGGTAGCCACAGTGGTGGCTATAATTCAGGGTTCCCCTAAAGGCTGCAGGGACTGACCCTGAAGACTTTTGTTTCTGTGTGAAGGAGGACTTGACCGTGTTTCATTGCTCTGTACGCTACTGTGTATGCTGAGTTTTGCTGAAAAATGGTGCAGAGATCTGGGACACTTTGGTCTGGATTGCTTGATGTTATACGGTGGTTTGGTTTTTCCGTCTCAGTTATATAATATCACTTGCAGCACATAAGCTATGAAAAGTAATTAATCGTTTTGTGCTTTACCGCGATGGCACAAAACATAAAATGCTAAAAAAGCATTTCTCCAGGTGAATAAAAGATATGAAAAACTGCCTTTTGTCAGCTCTTTTGCTTTTTAGCTTGTGAGGGAAAAATAACATTAGGAAAACCTTCTTGCTCTAGCTGACACAATCCCATCTCAGGTAAACTACTTAGTGGAGTACCATCAACTAGAGCGCCCAGCAGGCAGTCTCAGTCTATTCTGCAAAAATGCAGTGAGCAGAAAATACAGCTCCAGTCAGACTGCCCATCTGCTGTTTACAAAGAGAAGTTTTCCACTCCTTGATGACACCTATATTTTGAGCGGCCCTGGAGCTACTGTAATGTAGTTACCAAAGACTCTGTAATCCAAGCCCTGCACATACAATGCGAAGAATCCTTGACAACTCCTGGATCTTTAAATTTTAAATTAACACATTTCAAATGTGTAACATAACAGCAAAATAATCTAACCAGGCTTCTTTGAAGTGGTCTGAAAGGAGTTAGAAAGTCTAAGTACGTTGAAAGTCACTGGTATTTAGAGCCTTGTTAGGTTTCCTTTCCCTTAAGCTCCCTAGTGCCTGTTCTGTCCATGATTTCCCCTTACATGATCAATGTGCAGGTTATTGCTTAGTTTTGTGCATACATAATTAGCTGTACAATGCACTTGATAGGAAGCTCAGTTCCACACAAAGAAGCAGTATGACCCCTTTGCACCCCTTTGTGTGTTGATCAATGCCTGTGTACAAGGCTGAATTTCATATGCTGTGTTTTTCTTAATTGCAGGGGAAGAGTGCTAAAATCACAAGCACTCAGCAGGGGAGCTCATTTGTTTTATTTTAAATTTGCAAAGCCAATGTGCAGATTTCCATTAGTCAGTTTACCCTAATAATTTGTTCAAAGACCATGCCCATTTTTGGGAAAAACTCCAAAAAAAACCCCCCGTCTCTTTTTTTTCTTTTTTCTTTTCAATAGCTTGATCTTCGGAGCAATCACATGCTTCACTGGTTTCCTGGGTGTAATCACAGGGGCTGGGGCAACCAAATGGTGCCGGTTAAAAACCCAGCGAGCTGATCCTCTTGTCTGTGCTGTTGGCATGCTAGGATCAGCCATCTTCATCTGTCTGATCTTCGTTGCTGCCAAGAGCAGCATTGTGGGAGCCTATGTAAGTATAATCCTTTGCATATGTCAGTCTCGCTCTTACTCTCTCTACCAAACTCCTTAGAAGACTGTGTGCATTGTCCCCTGCAGGAAGCCTGAGATGCTGGTCTTGCTTTTCCCCTTCTGAATGTCCTTCATTTTGCCCCTTGGCATTTTGGCACTATCTAGATGTGCCCGAGTGGAAAACGATATCTCAACTGCTTATCCCCTCTCGCTAACTGTCATCAAAATTTAGAGGGGGGATTTAGTGCATGCATGGAAACCCACAGTTCCCTGCCTTTGGGTTGTTCTATCTATACCTCTATCCATACCTCTATCGCTCTTGCCTAACGTTTTGGTACAGGAAAATTGGCCACTTCCCTTATAATAAGGGTATTGTAGCTGCAGTGGTACCAAATTATAATTACAGTATAATTTGTCTGTGGGCATGCTTTTGGCTACCTATAAGTACCATTAATTTCCATAACTAGGTAGCTTGCTGCAGACCAACATTAATTACCATGTAATTTCAATCAGTTGTTATCTGTATTACCCCATAGCACCTGAAAGTCCTAGTCATAGCCCAGGAACCCACAATAGTTGATGCTGCACAAATGCAGATTAAAATATGGCCCCTCTCAGAGTGCTTATAATCAAGGTATATAAAAAGACATCTGATAGATCCAGACAAATAGACTGAAGGGAAAAGGAAAAACTCAAGTAGTATAATCCAGCCACAGGCTAGAATTTTGCTTTCAGTAGAGAGTAGAAATCCAGTAGGGTGAACAGGCCCCAGGTTCCCTTTCAATGTAATAGAGAGAAGCCCGAGACCTGGGAGAAGGTTTTGAAGGGAAAGCATGAGATGGTTGGAGTAGTGGGATAATTTCTGAAAGCCCACCCTTAGCTGCCACATTGCAGTGCACGCTCCACCCAGCAAGGAGAATTCATTTACAATTAACCAACCGATCTACTGCGGTTTCTTGTTTCTCTACATTTCTAGCACTAGCCTAGCCATGGTTATTTTCTGAGTATTTCAATAGCTGCCATCGTTACGGGGAAACACAAGAAGAAAGAGTGAAAGTTTAAAAACATTAAGACAGAACCAAGAATGCCTACTCTGGCTGCTTAGAAAGCGTCAGAAGGAGATTCAGTCCTCTGGTTTGTTTTGTGGCATGGTCTAGAGCTAACCTTCAATTCAGTGACCAGCAGCAAAATGATCACCTCAGACAACCTGTAAGAGGGCGTTACTGGTTGGCCAAGCATTAACCCTCCTTCGATCATCATCCGTCTCTGAGTGAAGAGATCTGTCACATCCCTCCGCCTGCCCCTCCCCTCCACCTCTTTGTGCAGCCAGCACTGTGATTTTCTCCTTTCTCAGAGCTGATGACAGACATGTTCATTTGTGGTGTGTAGTCTCTTTATGCAGAAAGTCCTCCCTTTCTAAGCTGGAAATACTGTTTTCAAAAATTTTGCAACAAAAGGTGGTTATTGGTCTCATTTTCATCTTTTTTCCTTAGTAGTTTTTTTTTTTTTTAGATAGCCATGTGACTATTCTGCATTGTGTAAATGTATAAATACAGATGGTATTATTTAACCAATCTTAGAAACAATTTATTTTATTATGCATGAGCAGTAACTCTATTAGAGTCAATGATTTGCAAAGGAAGTTGTATCTGCATATGGAGGAGGTATGAGGAATGTAAGCCTATTTGCTGATGCATACATTTGTTGCAGGTAACACTGCCTCTCCGTAGCCCTAAATATGCTTTCTCTGCTGCTGGAAACCTGATGCATAGAAAGCAGATAAAAGTCTAGATATTGTGCCAACTGGGGAATCAGAGATCTGAACTCTCTTTAACAGATTATACACATGAATCTGTTGTTGTGCCTTGTTTTGCCTCTGCAAAAATGAGGATTCTTAACTTACAAAGGGTCAGGGTAGCTTAGATCATTAATGTTTGTAAATCACCTGGAGTTAGATCATCTGTGGCCAAGCCATCCACTATAAATTAATATAAACAGAAAACAATGACACAACACCTGCTGCTGTTGCTGTTTAGTGTTACAGGTGCTAACCCCACTGAGAGAACAGGTCTGTGTTGGAGCTACCAATGTCTCATAACACAAGGTATTATCATGGTGGTGATACGCATGAGTTGAATTGACTTTTCAAGGCAAGTGTCAAACACGAGCCCTGGTTTTCCCATGCCATTCAGTGCTATTGCAATCTTACAGACTTCCAGTGTTTAATTCCCTTGTATTTCCCTAGGAGACCTGTCTTGCAAGGTTGCATGGTGTAGCACTTTCTCATTACTGTCTGTTTTAAGTCTCATTGGTCCAAAATGAAGGAGACTGTTCTCTAACTGGAGTTGGAACGCCTAGATACGGTGGACAGCTTTATGGACTAGGTTACCTTCCTTATCTCAAAATCCATGGTAATAGCTTGTTCTGAAAAGAATACAGTAAAATTTATGGATGGATTTTCTCATCTCTGATAGCTTCCTTGCCAGCTGTGTCCTGGCTTTCATCCTGAAACAGCATCTTTGAGTTCTGTGTAACTGTGAAAGGCAAGAACAATGTTCTGGTATTTCCAGACCTTCTGTACTGTGACTGTCCTTAGATTTCTGTCATTGATCCCACTGTGCTAAAATTGAAGGGTTACTGGTTTTGGACCCCTCACTGGCTCAGAGCCTTAAAATTATCACTTCCAAGCATTTAGATGGGTCCCCATGAGATGGTGTTCTCTCACACTGAGCTGTGGTGGCCACCAGATCGCCATCTTCCTCCCTGCTCTAGTTAACAGTTGAGAGTTTTTAATGTCAACGATACTGGCATCGGCATAAATGAAATGTTCAGCACTCCAGCAAGAATCAACAGAGCCCTTGCTTTTTAATTTCTTGGCTTTTGGGGTTTTTTTGTTTTTGTTTGTTTGTTTTAAAAGACCTGCATATCCTTTGACATGATCACCTTGTCCCTTACAGGCTGTCAACTCTCTGCTCTCTTCCTCCCCTGAACACGTGTACTTTTTCTCCCCTGCTCAGTCCTATCTTGCAGGTGGTTTTGGTCCCTGAGGGCAGCTGCTATTCCAGTTCTGTAGCAGCCACTCCTACCTGGTGCAGGTAGACAGACTTCTTTTTTCTGTCCAATCTTTTCATGCTAATCCAGTAAATTACTGACAGTGGTAGAAGTGGCCATGTATTTATATTTTTATATATAAAGCACCTATCACCATATTGAATAAAACAGCATTCCATATCACTTAGCTGCCCAGACACTTGTATTTCTGTCTTCTACTATCTTGCTTGGCTGTATAGTCCAATCAGTTCTTATTCTGTGTTCCTTGCAGTGTGTGGATTTGTGTGTTGTAGTCTGGCTCCTTAAAACAGCAATTTGCATATCTTTAGGTCCCACTCTTTCTGAAATATGTACTCTTTGAAATGTTGGTTTTCAAACCTGTCTCTTGAAACCCATTAGCTATATAGCATCATTGTATCATACTACTCAGACATTTCAACAGCAGATTTTAGACTAGTTTAAATTTCCAAATGACTGGAGAGACATGCTTTGCTTTGCCTTCCTTTTGACACTGTTCCAACTTGCTGTTGTACCTCAATTTCAACACCTATTTCAATTCCTTAAAGACATTTTATGATCTTGCAGAAACAGCAACTCCCAGGGTAAAACCTTGCCATCGAGCTTTTACAGCATCTCAGGCTCGACTCCAGGGACTTTCTGTTCACGTGGTGTTGGTGACTTACCTACTTCTGAGGCATCGGTATTGCCCAACACTGAGATGGAGTTAGAGTTACTTCAAATTCAAGAGTACATGTGGGAGTCTTACCCACTGTTTCAAAGAGAAATACAGATAATGAAGATGTAGACAGATACGCACTTTGCAAATAGCCATGGAAGGAGTTTGTAACCTGCTTAGATCTTGCTGTGAGAGCTGCTGGTGCAACTACTCCGAAACTACTTTACGTATCATTTTGGGGAATCAGAATTTGCTAACTGGTCACATGAACAGAAGACTTGAGGGGAACATAACTTCTATCAGCTCATCATAGATGAGCAACCGGAGATGGTGAGATATTATACAACACAGCTGGATTCAGAAGAGGATATATCTCTAAAGCTGAAATCTCAGTGTAAAATGAGGCTTCAAAAAGTGTGTGAGGAGCCAAAACCGTGACCATTTCAGGAGCTATTGTTCTGTTCTGGCGGCTGCCCTATTTGCAGTAAGCATCCCTAGAGTCTCTCTCCAGCAGAAATGCCACATATCCTCATACGCCCTTTGCAATGGATGAACTCATTTTTATAAATCCCCATTAGCAGCTGAAGGACAGGCTTTTTTTAATGTCAGTATCTTTTGTCCTACTTTTTGATCTTCTTCTTCCTCTTTTCCTTTTACCAGTATCCACATATTAAGCACGTGTTTCGTGGAAACGTGTTGGGTGACATACACATTCAACAATTCAAAACTGGTGCGCTCTGAAGTTTGTAGCGTTTCAGTGATTTATTTATAGGACTTGTGCTGAATTCCTGAAGAAGGTGGCAAGTTTTACTTGCTGCATGTAACTATTCATATGTTACGTGTATGTAATTTATATAACCTTAAGGCAAGCAGTTGCCTGTTTGCAATATTGTATGAACAGGCAGGGCATGTCGATGCCGCATTCAAAAGTGTGATTACATCTTTCCCAAGCTCAGTTTAATCTATCCAGCCACAGAACCCCAGCAACAGCAGCTGCGAAGCTGTAGCAGAACAGATTTCAGAGCAGGTCCCGAGAGCCCACCTGGGGCTCTGGTATGCCCTTGCTACATGACACATGGCTTCAACTCCCATCAGCACCTTGATTCATTGGATCTGTGTTTCTTAGCTCGGCAGTTGTCATTTCCAGTGAGAGCCAAGTTCAAGGCAGACCAGTGGACAGTGGGAAAATGGAAAGAGGAGATTTCCTAGCTGACCAGCTGGGCCATAATGACTGGCTCAGACACCATCGCAGAGGAAGCAGATCCAGTCACAAAAAGAGGGGATAGGGAGGGAGAATGTGTGGGAAACACAGACAATTTTAGAAACAAATAGAGGAAGCTTTCTGTAGGTCAATGCGTAAGACTTGCTAAATAAAGCAAACTATTCCTGGCAGTGACATGATGGTCTGAGGGGTTTAGGCAATCTCAACCGGTGTGTGGGAAAGACAACTGGGGTGGTCACATCAGAGCCATAGCTGCCAATCTCGGAGGTTCTCCTCCCACCCCAAACTGCGCCTGTGCAAGCAACAGGGACTGGGACAGTGACTGCGACTATCAGCCCATCAAAGCTCACAACAGCACCATAAAACAACATCCATCTGACTGTTTCCTCAGAGCAAAGCGTACCATGTATTTCTTGCCGGCTTTGTTTCATTAATGAATTGTAGCCTATTCAACTTAACAAAAACTGAGCGTAAGGCAATTAAAAGGGGGATCTTCAATGACCTGAATCCAAATTTCCGTAGCTGTTATCTCCAACTACCAATAGGGATTCCAGGAGCTATGTTTTCTTTCTAGATGCCACAAAAAGAAATGGGTTAGCTGGGCAAAAAGCAACCTTTTGGGGGACATCTAGTAAAGGAGTTTTGCTTGCCTTCTTGCTGGCGGGGAGCAGGGGAGCTGGTTTTTACAAGTCTGGTTATTTACACAGCGCTTCGTCTATGCGTTCTGCTCTTCATGATACACAAAGGAAGAGGGAAACATGTGTGTGGAAGATTTTCCATCCTTGTTTTTTCATCCTGTTGAATCTACATTTCTTTGTTAAATTGTTAACCTACAGCATAAAAGCAAAAGTTTCATGATTGAAATATGAGTGAAAAGCTTTTTGATGAAGGCAGTGTTCCTCCTGAAGCCATGTCACCCTTGTTCCATTGGACTCTGTTTGATGAACATTTCTTTTAATGATGAGGCCAGGTTAAATTAGTTTCTCCTCTTGATCATTTCCAGTTCTTCAACTGCTGTAAGTGTTTGTAGAATCATTTAGTGAACTGCACCAGGGAACTGATTTGGGTTAAAAATAAGAAAAATAAGCAAAACAAACCCCTCTTCCCCTACCTCCTCCCCAGCAAAGGATTCTTTGCTCCATCTCGGTTTCCTGATCTGGATCGCTGCTTGGTTCTGTTGTACCAGCACAACTGAGAAGGCAGTATGGGATGGGAGTAAGTGAGGAGGGAGTGCCAGAGGTCAAAGGATACGTGGTGGCTGTTTATACCGCACCAAAACAAAAAGATGCTCTCATCCCACTACATACACAGGGCTTTTAATGTATCTTGTTGACCATCTCCACAGGGTCAAGAGTTATATTTCACTGTAAGACACCGATGTTGCAAAACCTATACTTAAGTCCTGTCCTGACTGTACGTAGATATTACCAGTGTAACGCTTGAGTTGTTATAGTGCCTAGGCCTATGTCCCCCTCAAAAAGGACAGCGATATGCTAGCAGGGGAGGGAAGGGATCTGGCACATAGTGGGTAGAGAACCTCATGTGGTTTGCTACAGAGCTTAACAGGTAACTTGATGCCTGGTGATGGAAATGACTGTGTTTTGGGGAGCTGGGGCCTTCTTGCCTTTTCTAACTGGCTTTTTGGAACAGAATGATTTAAGTATGGAAGCTCAGGGCTGTCTCTTCTTGCTGGCTTCTCGTATTCTGTTACCGAGTGTGTCAGCCTTTTATTTAGCTGCTCTGTAGATCATAAACAGTTTACACTAATGAAGTTGCAGGCCAACCCTCTAGAGCTCTGATAAAAATCTATAGTTTTCTAATATTCAGGATAAACCACAACAGTAACCAGGAATGTATTGCGTACAGAAGAATCCTTTGAGCAGGTTTGAGACAAATAAGCAACAAAGGAAAGTTTGTGACAGGTTATTTTTCCCTTGAATGTCAAGTGAATAAATCTTCTCCTTTTTGTGTGTTTTGTTACAACAGATTTGCATTTTTATCGGAGAAACTCTTCTGTTTTCAAACTGGGCTATCACAGCAGACATACTAATGGTGAGTGTACTTTGGAACAGCATCTTTCTCTTCTGGTGGCCAGAGCAGTCTGTCAGCCTGCAAGAACAGCCTAAAGTTCACAATTTCTTCCAAATGCCTAGCCCCTACTTCAGCCTATTCTTTTTTTTTCCCCATTTTTTTTTTTTTTTACTTGGTGAAAAGGAAAGAGAGAGAGAGAGAAAGAAAAAAAGATTATTCTTGTCCTTTGTTCCAAGCACCAGGGAGAGGAAATGTCCAGAAGGGACACCATTACTGAATTCAAGTAGTTTCCCCAAATTTTAAGTATTTGCGCAAACCCCCATATGCAAAGAAATCAGCCAGCATTTCCTAATAGTCAGCACATTAGTGGATTTTGTTATCAATAACTCAGCTTTGTTCTGCAATAGGAAATCCTTCCCTCCCTCCCTCCTCTGACCACAAAGGCAGCCATCTACCTCTCTCTTTGGCTTAACTCCAGCAAACCTACCATTCAACACATACACAATAGAAAACCACCTCTGGGAGAGGAGAGAGGAAAAGAAAGTACAAAGAATTTTTGAACTATGTCCACCTTGTCCAGGAGGAAACTGTCAGGGACTTTTCACCTCATGTCCTTCATTTTCCATTCTTTCTCCACCATAGAGCTTTTTAAGTCTTTCAAATCAGCAAGCTGACCTCAGCAGCTAGATTTTCATATGAAATAGCCTGGACGTTTGTTAGAGAGCCTTGCATGTTTTGTAGATGCTTCCATCAGAGACGTACAGAGCCTATCAAACATACTGTATGTTGAAATCCCATTGTGAGGGAGGTTACTTGTTGCTTATTGTATGAAAAAGAAAGAAACTAGGGCACAGAACCATTACAGGACTTGCCCGAGGTCTTTTGGCAGGTTGTTGACAGAACTAAAAATATAATCTGTCTGGCATCAACAGAAAACTCCCTTGACTTGTATTTGTTGCTTGTGCAAACATCAATGAGAAAACAATCTGGCTCAGTATTCCTAGATGTAAAGATAATGGTGTTGATATATTGATTCGGCAAAGAACTTCAAGCTTCTGCTAAGTTCTGTTTATGATTTAAGTTGAAGGTTGTGTTTATATTTGAAGGTAGCTCTGTAGTTGTCATAACTGCGTTGCCTGATGAACTTTCAATCTTTAACTCATTTGTGCAGAGAACGCTTTGGGAGGTGGGGTGGGGTGCTTAATTCCACTTCTCTCAGATGTGAATAAAGCACGGAGGAACAAAGGTTGTCAGCGTACTTCAGTAGTGTTAGATAGCTTTTACTTACCGAGGTTCGTTCCTCCTACCAGTTTAGCTTTAGTGTGATAGAGCTCTGCATGGGCTGAACGGGTGTTTACTCTGTACTCACAGGGGTTTGCAGCTTGTGCTGAGTTCAAGGCCGCCATGGCCCTTCATTAAGCGGTATCTCAACACTTAGACAGATGTGCAGTCTACAGACAGCCGTGTTGAGGAAGAAATTATAGTACGATATTTGTAGTTGCTCATCGCTGCCTCCTCCAGAGCTTCCTGTCGCATCCTGCCTTTGGCTGTGATGTTCCCAGGAGCGCTCCCAACTCTCTCTGGTCAGAATTAGCTGATGGGCTTAAGCAGCAGATCTTTTCTATCCTCACCAGCATTGGCTGAAAGAGGTCAGGGCTTGGCCATGGAGCACATCTGCAGTCGTCCAGCAGTGACTCTCGAAGAGCAGCTGAGGTAGTCATCTCTGCTGCCAACATAGCGCAGCTGGAGGGAGGGTACCTGTCGGACAAGTTCAAGGTCCTCCAGAAAATCCGTGCCAGAGAGCGAGCTGACACTTGACCTAGGTTGTCTCAAGCTAACCCCAAAAGACATTTTTCAACCAACTACTTTGTTATATCAAGTGTACTAAGGATGCCATCATTGTCCCATTTTAATTACTGAGATTTTTTGTGTTGATTTCAATGTGACTTTAGTATCCTGTAGCTTTTTAATAGCTTTTATAGGGTTTGCCATCTGTCTTACCAGCATCCTATAGTCAGTTGCATTTTGTAGGGATGCATTTGCAGTTACTTGTGTTGCTTTAGTGCAAAAGAACTCCGTAAGAAATGATTGGAAATAATTGGAAATAATTTCTTAGTTCCAATTTCCAAAACATGGGAAAGAAACTAAAACCATGTTAAAAATTGGATTTTGGTAATTGATGCCAGCTCTTAAGCTAGCTGTTCTCTTGTCTGTTTAGAAAAAATGAACTGAGTGTCACATATAATGCCCAGCTTAATGCATTATCAGGACGAGTAGACCTGTGAAAGTGCTATACAAATAAATGTAAACATCCACTTAGATCAATGCAAGCCTGTAAACAGATGGTCTGAAGTGCATTCACGTTACACAAGGGGTTTGAGAGGATGTTTAGTCAGACAATAGGTGAGAGCCAGGGCTATAACCATGTTTGACAGACAGCTTTATAAGAATTCCTAGCCAGAGAAAGGTATGGATATGCTTTAGCGAGATGCACTTTAAATGTTTGGCAAATTAATTTCTACTGATTACTATTTATTTGGTGTAATCAGAAGTGTGTCTGTTCTTGCCTGAGGCTGGTAAGGAGTTTAAAAGCATTATTAGCGTAAGCTTAACAACACTTTCATCATATACATAAATATTATCCTGTTTTCATGGATAAAAAGCTCTCATTACTGGCTGAACACTGTTCCCACTGATTTCATTATGCCAGAAGTGAGGCTTTTTGGAAACTGCATCCCAAATGATTTATCATAGCTCTCCCAAGATTTACAGATCTCATGACTGCTTAAGAACCCTATCGGGCAAGTTGGTAAGCATCTTCAGAGGTTTTGCAAGTTTAATTTCCTTGGCAAAACAAGGATGTTTGCTTATTATCTTCAAATTTAATTGTTGGCTCTTCATAGCTTCATGCTTCCATTGCATCTACTGTTCTTGCCAGGGTAACGGTGGGTATGCAGCTCCTCAAATTGTCTGCAGTAAAAGGTGCTGAGCGCTAGGTTTGATAAATAAACTGTGAGTGCTGCAGAATGTAGTGCACTGCCTGAGATTTTAAAAGGCTGATATTTGTTCCAAATGCAAATTTGTACCAAACAGGCCTTATTCTCCTGAGCACAACTCTCCAAATCTCCTCCCGGGCACATGCTCAGATGGTGGTTAGGGAACAGGGGGATGTTTCTTACGGAGTATGCTAATTATGAAACAGATTTCATCAGCCATCTTTGCAAATTGGCCTCAAAATTACCAGAACCCCAAAGTAGCATTAAAACTGCCTTGTAACAGCAATAATGAATGAGCTTCAGTGCAGCAGGCAAGTGTGCAACATTCTGAGACATGCTGAGTGCTTGGGACGTTGTGGAATCTGGTCCTAATAGTGGGTTTTTTCCTCCATAGCACATCTCAAAAATAAAGATGATGGACAGAGGCTTGGTGGCATTTCTGTGTAAGAGCCAGTAGGCAATTTAAAGGGCCTCAGCTATTGCGATCACAATGTCTTTAGGTCTTTGCTGAGAAAAGCCATCCTCCAGTTTATGCAAAGTCTTGACACTCATGCAAGAAAATGCTCTGCATATTTTTTTTTTCTTTTAAAACATTAGTTCTTTTTAAATGGTCGTGAGCTGCCATGGAGGAGCCGCTTTAATGTTTTGCTGTAGAGTCAAAGTCTTCCTTTAGGCTTGAAACAGGCATAGACTGGTGCTCAGCTGTGCTATAGGCAAGGAGGAGTGTTGCTTTTGTTCTGATTACCTTCCCTATAAATAAAAACCAAATATTTATGTAGTATAAAATACTGCCCTGTTTTTACAGCCGAAGATAAAGAGCATTTCCAGAAGTTCTCATTGTTGCTTCTCTCAGTGTGCCTCCACGCATCAGTAATCTGAGTGCTGTGGTTTAGGTTTTAAGGCAGGGTGAGGAGTGCCTTTGAACGAAGGTACACGGCCCACTTCAAACACTTGGGCACAGCCCTGACCAGGAAGGGTGTGCCGGGGGGCGTCTCGGCAGTTCTTCCGTGGGCCAAGGGTTGCAGACGGCTGTGTGCTGCTCCATGTTGTGCTGTGATCTGGAGACCAGGTCAGCCTCCTTTTACTTCACTTAAAAGTATTTTTTCAGACAGCATCTGCCTAGCTTGAGTGAAGGGTCTTTCTCAGGCTGGGTTCTCTGGGTGACAGCCTTTGCCTTTTCTGAACAGTAGTTACAACGGGGGCAGCTGGCCTATTTCCAGGCTCTGTCAGTGGCTAGGACGGGGTTAGCGTGTGTTTTCTTTGCCTTTGGTGCTGAAAGAGGCCAGTATGCATTGTCCTGAAGATTACTGTCTGACCCAGAAAGGGTAGCAAAGTGTTTTAGAGAGTAGAGTTTTCTATCGAAGATTGGACATAAACATCAGAACTTACCTCTTTGGCACGTGGCCTTCAACTGGGAGAAGGGTGGTCTCTCCTTGGCTTTCCTGGTTATTTCAGACCAGCTCATTCTGCTGGTTTCACTACAGGAAGTGGATGTCGGCAGTAAGCCATGGCCTTTCTTGAACCTCTATTTAAAGAGCAGAGTTTTGCCAAAGCTGCTTGGTCAGCCTCCCTGCCCATCCTCCGTGCTGCCTGCCTCGGAACCTGGAGGCAGAGATGAGCCAGGATGGTCCCACAGACTTCCACTTCGGCTGCTGTGGCTCTCCCACCTCCAGTTTCTGTGGGATGTTCAAACCAGGCCATGTATGGTTTGAATTTAGGTCTATTTTAGTACCAAAATGCCCATTTAGAGCTGTAATTTACTGCTGTCTTCCTAGAACAGTAGATAATGTTTGCTACCAACTACTCCCTCTCTGTCAGAATAAAATGCTTTTTAAGTAGGGATAGGGTGGAGTATTTTTGTGTGTTTTGGAGATGCTGGTTTAAGCCTTTTTTTCTTTCCAATACGTTCTTAGAGGAGGAGGCAAAATCTCATGTTCATTTGCTTGCCACATGTTGGGTTTTTGGGTTTGGGGGTGCGGGGTGTTTGTCGCCTGAATTCCAGACTGAATTTACTAAGTTTTGGCACTTCATAGTGCCAAACCGTATCAATGGTTTCAACTATCAATAATGTCTTTAGTTAGGCAGACTGAAAACTTGCTGGAAATTGTATTGCTACTTGCAAAACTATATGTATGCATAATACAGATATACATGCAAAATTATGTCTATATGTGTGAGTGTGTGTTCATGTGTATAAATATATATATGCACACACACGATCATTCAAATTTCTTTGTCCAGTTGGCACCAATTCACTGCCACTCCCCGAAAATGGTAAGTTTTTAATGAATCTGCCATTTCCTTTGTCATTTTGCTAAGAAAATGGATGGATTATAGAGCCAGGCAGGCTTTCTTCTCCAGATTTGTTAGCATAAACTTTATAGAAAGAAAAATATTTTAACGTAACTTTAAAATTCCCTGTTTCACAGATATACACAACTCTGGACTCTTGAATTAGGTAAAATTTCACTTTATCTTCTCAGATGCCCTTTCTCAAACAGCTCTTGGAGAATGAAGCAGGTGCTTCTCCATTGCACCGGTGTGAACTGGGGCCAGGTGGGAGGAAGAACAGAAGAACAATAACTTTTTCTTTTATTTTCTTCTGTCTAATCTATCCAGGTTGCACCCATTACCCTGCATCTTTGGGGAATGGTAGTGAATTGTGTGGCTCTCCTACTGTTGTACAGCATGACCTTCAGTATGTTTCTGTCTCTCTAATGAAGTCTAGACCTTATTTTCCTCTTGGGATTTCTGTGAGCCTTCAAGTCTGTTTTGAGCTCCTGGATGCAAAAGGAGGACGGTGTCTAACATCTGCAGTCAGGTGGCTGCTGTGGGTCTGATCACCTTCTGCGCTTCTGTTGCACAACAGGATTTTAACAGGGTACCCATTTAATATGTGGCATCAAAGTGCGTTAGCAGTGTGCATTTGCAGCTTTGTCAAACCAGTAATGAAAGAACTGGCAGGTCATTCTGAAAGCACATGGTAAAACCCTAAGGAAAAGCATTTAATCTAATTTTGCCCATCGTTCGTAATTGTCTCTGCTTGGAACGAGTTGATCATTCTAAATAGGCATCAGTTCTCTTCTAGTGTGGATTTTCTCAAGGCTATTTCTTTTCTTTCCTTTTTTTATGGCTAACTCTTTCCACTGCAGACAGGGCAACTCACCTTCCCTGAGAGGAAGTGTTAAAGCGCTGAAACAGTGCTTCAGATTCTGTGCCCTGAGATACGTCGCTGTTGAGCAGTGAGTTCTCCCTACCTCAGTCAGCTAAGGTAAATTGATCTCTCTGTATCTCTAGCTGGGGATATGCCAGTCCCGAAATGTCACATTTCATTAATAAATGACTTCAGGAAAGGATTGCAAGAATGAGTTGAAGTCTGGGAAGGCATGCCTTCTAAAGAAAGACTAAAGGCAGCCCATCACAGAGGAAGTGGACAAGTAAAAGGCATCATGGTCTACAAATACCTAAACAAGAGAGTAATTTCTGGCAGGGTAGATAGCTCTTCAGAGCAACAGAAAAAGGCAGAACAAGATTCGGTGCTTAGAAGTGGAAACAAAGCTCACTTGGATTTAGAGACCTATTGAATTCTTCATTACTTACAGCCTTTAAATCAAGACAGGATCAATTTATAAACCGGGATATGTGAACTTGATGCAGATGTTCTTAGCCAGCTTCTTTCACAAGTTTTATGCAGGAGACAATTACTTTTTTCTGCTCCTAAATGTGTGTTATAAAATTAAGGTCATTCCACAGGATGGGGGTTTGTTGCTTTTTTTTTCTTTTTTAATCTTTCATCCCCTTCCATGGTTAGGGCTCTGTTTTCTGTGAGCTCTGGTCCCTTAACGGGGAAGTAATTTGTGTTTTCCACTGATCCTGTGTAGTCAGACTGATTCTGCATGACCTGGTCGAAGGTGTCATGTCCTATTAGAGGAGTGGGGATCAAACTACAATATCTTGGCTATGGAGAATTTTCCTAATGTGTCTGTCACTTTTTACAAGTGGAATCGCAAATTTTTGAGAAAAATAAAAAGTGGCTAGAGATGGGGGGGGCAGATATGTGACCTTTCATACTGGTGTGAATTGCTCATGGTTAGGATACAAAATTATATCTTTATTATGGAAAAAACACCATATCCCAGGTTACAGCAAAGTCCTCGTTTGGAAGGCTGGCGGTGCTGAGCAAATTACGTGCTGCAGGCAGCCTCGAACTTCGCTCTCCCCATCAGCCAAGCAAAATACAGGCTGAGGAGCAATAGCAAAGTGTCTCGTGGGCGAAGTTGTTGGTCAGACTCATGCATTCAGTGCTGCTGAGAGGAGCGCAGACCGGACAGAGCTTCCTTCCCTCGACACCTGCCATCAGGAGTACTAGAAAGCCAGGAAGGGTAGCTGAGCTCCCCGGTGGCTTGAGCCCCCCGTGGACTGGACAGTGGCTGCGTCTGCCACCGACATCTGGGGGAGCTTGTTTACTTTGTCCTGACCTGGGTATAAACTGAGCAATACAAGACAGCTGGACAGGTTCTTATTTCAGTTTCCTTATGGTTTTTTTTTTCTTTCCCCTTCTTCTTTGCAGTATGTGGTCATTCCAACGCGCCGTGCAACCGCAGTGGCCTTGCAGAGTTTCATTTCACACCTCCTGGGAGATGCTGGCAGTCCTTATCTGATTGGATTTGTAAGTGCTCACAGCAGGTTTTGGCAGGGTTGCGTGCACATGTTTGTTTCTGTTTACTAACTGCTTATCTAAAATGCCAAGTTAAACCATGCTAGGGGAAGGAAGTCCTGTATTTATCAGCAGAATGGGAAGCGGTGCAGTGCGACGCAACTTTTTTACATGCTTGTGTTATCGGGGGGGCTACAATTCAAACCTGGAAGGACCACTTGGGCGCGAGAAGTGAGCTTCTAAATCTTTTTAGCCTAGGGCATTTGTAAAGCTTATAGACAGCTCTGTAAAGGGAGAGCGGTTGCTTCTGTGGTGTGAACATAGGTCCATTAGAAATTAGATTGGAACAGAGTCGTGTGTGTGTGTTTAACTGTTAATCTGGTCTCATAAACCAAATACCTATTTGTGGGTAGCAACATGCAGCTGTTCTGACCTGCTGATATTTTGAACCTGTTTTGTATGATAATAAATGACGGTGTAAAATCCATGGCAGGATGGGTGTTATGTTTTGGGGGTTTTATTAGTATTCCTTTCTGGTGTGTATGCTTTGGTTTTTTATTAGTATTATTCCTTTCTATTACTGCTGCAGTTGTTGGCCTTGGTCTGACTGGAGATCTCCCTCATTATGCCACCATTATCCTAGTGCGGAGCAAAACAAAAGACCCTGCTCCAAAAGCTGGCAATCAGAGAACATTCACAGTTGAAAATACAAGGCCTGGGAAATTTAATGAGGAAAAGCAATCTAGATATACTGGGGTAATTTCTTTCCCTTGCACCCTTCTGTGGAGTTTGATGCTTTGAGTTTCAGAGAACACAGATCATAATTTATAAAATATAGTAGCTTCCATGTAAAGCCCTAAGTGGCACTGCTCACGTTGTGTTGAAGGTGCTACAGTTTTCCAGGGATGTAACTGGGATCTTCACTAGTCCCGTCACCTGAGAGACAGAACTCGGATGTGCTCTTCCAGCTCAGTACTGCTGTGTGACACAGCTGCTGGCTGCTGGGGACGTTTGTTTTGGGTTTTTTTTTTTTAAACCTGTCATTTCTCATCTGTTCATCCCATAGACACTGGTGTGTGTACCTATACATATTTATTTATTTATATATATTTAATTTTGTATATATATATTTAAATATACATAAATATTTACTCTTGAATGCCAGCTCCCAAAAATGATATGCTCTGTAGCCCTCTGAAGCATACATGAAGAGACAGATACAGGTAAGGCTGAACGGACCAAAGAAATTAGAAGTCTCAAGAGAATAAATATGTACAATTTGCCTTACTCTTTATTTAATTCAATGTTCTGGGCACCCAGGGAGAAATGATCTTATTTTAGAAATTATTTGGAAGTGGCAAGAACAGAGGAATCACTGGAAGAGTCTGCTTTGTGCAGGGCAGGCAACATGGGGAATGTCAAGTAGGAGAATGAAATAAGCAGGCCAGCGTGCTTTGAAGGCGGGCGCCAGCGATGAGAGGCAGGGTCTGAGAAATATACATAATTAATTACTCTTGAATGCCAGCTCCCAAAAATGATATGCTCTGTAGCCCTCTGAAGCATACATGAAGAGACAGATACAGGTAAGGCTGAACGGACCAAAGAAATTAGAAGTCTCAAGAGAATAAATATGTACAATTTGCCTTACTCTTTATTTAATTCAATGTTCTGGGCACCCAGGGAGAAATGATCTTATTTTAGAAATTATTTGGAAGTGGCAAGAACAGAGGAATCACTGGAAGAGTCTGCTTTGTGCAGGGCAGGCAACATGGGGAATGTCAAGTAGGAGAATGAAATAAGCAGGCCAGCGTGCTTTGAAGGCGGGCGCCAGCGATGAGAGGCAGGGTCTGAGATGCAGGCACGGCTGTCTCAGGTGACTCTGCTGCATGTTCATTCTTTTTCTTACGTAAGAGGGACGTCCGGGAGGAATGGCGAAGACCCTGAATGATTGCAATTAATCTTGAAAGTTGCCTAGGGCTCTTTAGTGTCGCAGATTTAAAAAAAGGGACTTTGGTTGTAGAAAATAATGTGCCTTGCCCTTCTGGTATTCAGAGATCAAGCAAGTTGTGAGTTACTTAAGGATGCCTGCCTGAAATATGCTTAACCCCAATTTAATAGCTGCCTTAGGCTTTCTTTAGACTGGGAAAATATTAATTATGATTTTGAATTACTCTTTTCTAATGCTGTACTTGTTGGGCAGCTCTCATTTGGGAGGAGAGTACCCAAGTACAAGGCTCTGTGGCAGGAGAGCAGGAGTAAAGCACTCGTGTCATGGAAGGCACCAGCATCCAATTCTGTAGCCTCTGGACTGGCTTGGCTGACTCATGCTCCCTGTGCTACAATGACTGAAAGGTCAACCGCAGCTTTCACGTACCACAGAAAAACAAATACTATTTGAAGTGAAAGGACAAACAGCCAACTTCTCCACCAGAGCTGAGACAAGCAGTCAACTTGATTGTTAAAAACTGCAGGTGTTTGTCACTGGAATTGTCCAGCTGAGTTGTAGGATGGAGACCTTCATGCAGGATTGAAATCTCATTTGGGCAGGTTACAGAAGTGGCTTAGATTATGACTAGGATTTTCAAGGCAGTCTGTGGGAGCTAAGCAACCTACTCCTCTTGGCTTTAAGGGAAATTTGGGAACCCAATTCCCATAGTCCTTCTGGGAATCCCCAGCCTGAGGACATCAACTCACACTGCTGTTACTCCAGAGTTACCACGAAGCGGACCGAGAGCAGGGTGTGGGTCTTGAAAGAGAGAGACAGAAGGCAGGATAGATCAAATGAGCTGCAGTAACAGGCATGCTCAGAATCGGCGAAACTCGGCCTCCTGATCACTCAGGGTTCATCTGAGATCCTGAAGATCTGCCATTTCTTCTGACTGCTTACAAAATCCGCCTAAAGCTCCCTCACTAAATGAGCAGTGTTTTGATCAAGTATGGCTGGAATCTCACATGGTTTTGGTGAGTTCATAGTGAGATTCCCTCTAGCAGTGCTCTTAAAGAATCAGATACCCGTGTCCTTGTAGGACTAAGCTGTCGCAGGCAGTTGTCTCTGTAAGGTACTTAACAGCTGCAGCCTCATGTGTGGTTGCTCCTTGCCCTGAGAGTTGAAGGTCAGACTCAGATTTTTCTGTAATCTCCCCCAGTTCCAAATCTTGCCATGCAGCTCCTTACAGTAGCCCAAAGCACCAAATATATGTTAGTGTTTAAAAGCTAAGTGGAAGGAAGAATGTATGTGTGGTTATTTTTCATGTCTCTTTAAATATTGGTAACTTTTATTATGGTAAAAAGGCTTAAGATTGACTTACAAAGAAGTTATGCAAATGCAGTTTTAGGGTGGAAGCTGTAATTTGCGTAAGGTTTTACTACCTGCCAAGCACTGAGATCAATTACTATAAATCAGTGCTGCCTATTCATTCACAAATAAGAACAGGCATTGCTGCAGTATTTCGTTAGATGAGAGGTTTTATTCCTAGATAACTGTAACTTTTTCAGGACCTTTGTGATAACCCACAGAGTTTAAATAATTCCTGTTTAGCAACTTGGAGTATAACTCTGTGCTTTATTCTTGAGGTAGTCAGTGAGGAATTTCACCTCCTCAGTGCATTACACCCAAATATCTCTAGTACTTTTGCGTCTTTGAAAGGTCCCACTATGCAGACACGGTTGCTGAAGCACAGAACAGTTGAGAAATACCCCAAATCTCACCACTCATGTTGACTATCAGATAAAGGTCTTCTAACTGCTCTTCCTGCACCCTAATACTTAGACAGCATTTCAGACTCAGAAGAGCTGAGTGGAGGTAGCTAGCAGCAGAATGTGAAATACAGTTAACTTCTCACGACGCATCATAGCTCCAGCTCTTTGTATTATTATTTCTGGTTATATCTTTGTTGGCCTTTAAAATCAAATAATTGTAAGAAGTGCCAGTGAATCTGCGCTTCTGCGTTCATCTGTGCACATGCATGCATGAACCCATCTTCCCTGCTCAGGGTTTACATTATTCCTTCACACAAACAGCAGTCTCCCTCCACTTGCTGACATACTCTTTTGCTTCAGGAAAACCAAGTACAGGCAGTGATTTTTTTTCTTTTGAGGCTGTGCCTTGTTCCTTTTTCTTTCCTTCCTCCAAGTCTGTCATTTGCTTCCTATCTGAGCACAGGAGTGCTTTCCTCTTCCATCCTTGCCTTGCTTCTAGCCCTGGCTGTGATGAGAAACAGGCACCTACTGCAGGCTTTGCTCTCTCTGCATGTGCCAGGAAAATTGCTGTTGTGGGCACACGCTGTCCTTGCTGCTCTGGTGCTGTTGGCTCTCCTGTTAGCTTCCTGCTTTATTAAATTCTTTCTCATCTCCCCTGTGCAATCATCCATCAGGTCTAGGGATTGAAAGCTGTCTGTATCTGCTTGTCACCTGGCAACATCGGCGTGTGAGGATGGGTGTTTTAAAGTGCCAGAGATCAGTTCTCCTCCACCAACACCTTTTGATGGGCTGAAAGCTATTCCCTGTACTCCACCGGTGGTGGTTCCCTCCTGTCCTGACCTCCTTGGCTGCTGCTGCTTCAGTTTTACCTGAGGGACACAACCTCCAGCCACTCTGGCCAAGCAGCGTCAGGACAGCATGCCACGGCCTGGCAACTAGGCTCTGTGAGAGGGGGGACCCCGATCACTCATCTGTGTGCTGAGGGTCACGCGAAAGCTCTCCCCGTCTGTCCATCTCTAGTTAGGCAAATGGCAGCATTACCTGAATTGCTGGGTCTCCGATGGCCTCCTCTTGGCAGACCCCGCGACCGAATGCTGTGTCGGTTTGCGGTGCCCAGGCACGCTGCTTCGCCTGGCAGCAGAGGTCACGAGCGTCTGAACAGGCAGCTTCTCTTTGAACTGTCTCCTTTCGAAAAAGAGGTCTGAGTGTGAGTGACCTTGTAATTAATTGTAAGCAAATCTGAGCTGTTCTGTTTCGAAGGGGTTTTGTGCAACTCCTAATATTACCTGGAAAAAAATTTTATTAATAAGCCT